TCTCTCTCTCTCTCTCTCTCTCTCTCTCACTCACTCACACACACACACACACGCACACACACACACACAGACACACACACACACACCTATGGGGCCACGAGTTATAGGAAGTCTCCCGCCACCCCATGGATTACATTCGATTACACTCACCTAATGATTTAAAGACATCTGGCCCTGCGTACTTCCCGTCAAAGTAAACTGCGTTGTTCTGAGAGTCGAAGGCACGGCACATCCTGACGAACACGACCTCCAGAGATCCTGCCGGAAAAGGACACAGCACCCTCTCCTTCGTCAGGCCTCTCCCTGCTGCATACCCCCCCGACCCGCTCAGACAGAACACACTGCCTGCTGTGTCAGCTTCTCCAGACTGCCTCATCTCCCCACTCCACGCTGGACGGAAATCATTAACACTGATGTCACGGAGCCAGCTCTTACCCAATGCAACAAATGTGACCCAATATTAACACAAGTTTTCATTTGTTAAATAAACACGCCTTCAGTATGTTCGGTCTTCATTTAAAAGCGTGTCTAATGCACATCATAAAACTGAGCTCAACTGTGCGAACCCAGGTGTTATTGCTGTATGTGGTTCTGGATGTGCATGGCTAGAACCAAAATGAAGCCTCAGAAGGAGCCCTTTGAGGGAGGTAACTAGTCTGAGGTTCGTTAATCATTTCTGCCATGTGGATATGCATGAGAAGCACAGCTAACATTTATTGTAAATATGTAATACTGAGACAAAGAATATAATAACTTGGCCTTGCCAGCATGGAGTAAGAGCAGTGTAGCTTATGTATGGCAGTACTATGCTTTCCAGTAGTTTCAGCAGTTAATTCCCCTTAATACTGGTGCTTGCAACACAAATGAAATGGAGGCAAACAGAGAGTTTGAATCCCACTGGGAGACGCGAGTCTGTTTGCCTGGCCGTGCCGCGGGGAGCAATTTGTCTGTTTGAAAAGACCCCAGCTGGTGCAGAAAATAGTGATGGAGACATGAAACTGTACAGGGAGCAGCTCGTGGCTCTCCTGTTCCCACTGTTGCTGATCTAGAATAATGCTGAGCTTGCAGATTCCAGCAATGGCAAAAGGAATCATAAGGGAAACTTAATCAGCGTTTCAAACGGCGATGCAGAGAGTCAATTCTATTTAATTCCACTGTACAGGTATAAAGGTTTAAACTAGTCAGACAGCCCCAAACTGACCAATTAGATCTGACGCTCTGATGGGAAACTAACTTACTGAGGTGGAAGATCTAACATTCTGTAGTGATGAGGAAGGTCTAGTACCCCAATCTAATCATGAGTAAGGTCGAACCTTCTGATGGGAAACCCTGACTTAATGTTAAGGAAGATCACAAACATTTCACCGTGTTCCCTGAAAACGTATGACAATAAAACTTGAAACTAATGATGGGGAACCCTGACTTAATTATGACGAAGGTCTGGAACCCTGATTGAATCATGAGGAAGATCTGTTCATCTGATGGGGAACCCTGAAGTAGTGGTGAGGAATATCTGAAAGCATGATCTAATGCTTAGGATGACTTGAACCCTGATGTAATGATGAGAAACACTGACCATCTGGTCAGGAAGGCCTGCTTTCACTTTGTCCTGTACCCGAGGCAACAGAAAGAGACCAACATACCTGCTTTTAGAAGTACGATTTGATCATTCTGACACAACTCCATGAAGCCATCAATGCGCTTGGCGAACTCCACCACATACTGGATGGCCTCTGTTATTTTGATGGCACACAGCTGCCACATGACCTCCCGGGGCTGGTGAGGAACATAGAGGTTACCATAAGAATCCCGCCAACGGGTGAGCAGGTACAGGTGATGTATGCCTCGCTCTAACAGGATGATGGCTGCGTGCCCCATACCTTGTTCTGGTAGCTCTCCACCTCTTCCTGGAGAAAGGCCTGCCAGCTCATCTGTTGGAGCTCCTCCCGCAGGTACTGGCACGTCTCCACGTGGGACTTGCCAATGTTCTGGGCCAGGTGCTCTGCAGTGACAGTGGTCGTAAAAGTCAGCGCCGCAAAGCGTGCATCAAGACGGGGGACTGTAGTCTGCCGGAATCTCACTCCCTACTGGCACTTTAACCAGAAGGTGGTCTCTGACATTTCCGTTAAACCGCCTCCGCAAAGTTCACGGCAGAGAAGGCTGTCAAGAATTGAAGGAAGTGATGACAAAGGGGAGGGAGGAGGAGGCGGAGAAGATGACAATGGTACTGAAGGGATGAAAGGTCATTCAATGCGAACCCAGAAATACATACAAATTTTATGATTGTCTGACTTAATTTTTATATTAAATTAACGATCGAGTTTTTTTTATCAGAAAAAAATGTATACATTATAACTTTATCATCTGTGCATTTATACAGTATGCAGACTGCAACAATTTTTTATTGCATATGGATTGATAAGGAGGGTTGCACAGTGGCTCAGCTGGTAGCATGGTAGCCTCACACCTCTAGGATTGCTGTGCTCATGTGGCTTTCCTCTGGCTTTCCTCTGGCTACTCCAGTTTGCTCCCTCACTCCACAAATATGTGCTTAGGTGAATTTGTCTCTCTGGATCCATTCTGCATGTGCATGTGACTGTATGCTCTGCAATGGATTGGAATCATGCTCTGGGAATCTACTGCTTCACGTCTCATGCTTCCTGGGATACCTGTACTGGATAAGTAGGATTCATAGGTGGATTTACATATGTTTTTTCCTGATGTCTGCTGTATTCTGATTGGCCTGATTGGTAATTCTGAAAAATGGAGCTGTAATGAACCTTGAAGATGGGACCAGCCTCCCATCCCCTGCCCTTTAAAGCAAATCTTTCACTCCCAGGTTGTGCCCATTCCCTCACCGAGCTCTGCCATGGACACTGTGGGAGAGTTATCCCCGTTGGTGAAGGAGCAGTAGGGGAAGAATCCGGAACCCTGGGCGTAGTCGCAGATGGGCTCAGGTTTGATGCCGTTGATGTCCAGGCCAGACTGGTCCGGCGAGGGCTGGATGTCCAGGTAGAATGTGCCGACGGCAGAGTCCGGCTTGCCGCCATCTGGCGTGTGACCGTCCATGTAGCCTCCGAGGTCGTCCTGCAGCTCGGTGAGCCCGCTGGCGGACAGGCCGTAGGCGGGCGGCGGCGTGAGCGGCTCAGCCTCGCCGGGCTGCTGCTGGTGGTCCCGCTGCTGTTGCTGCAGCCGGTGTTTCTGCACCTCCGCATACAGGCTGTCGCGCTGCTTCTTGGACATGCGGCCAAACTTCACGGCTATGCATGGGAGGCACAGAGACACATGGATGAGGAGATTTATATCATACAGGGACAAAAGGATACTGCAAGCTAATGAAATGCTACAAAAAATGCAACACATATTCCCTACAAGTTATTTGAAAGTCACAGGAAGCTTGGGCTATATTCAGATACAGTCTGACATTAAAAACTGTGCTAATCTTGCCCTCATAAACCAAGTTCAATGGCAACTCATCATTCCACTGAAACCTTTATAAATTGTAAATGAATCAAAATATTCATTTAGTTTCAGGTACATCCCCATTCAGATTCACCTAACCCTAAACCTAAACCTAACCCTAACCCCAACACCACCCCCCTGCACTCACTAACACTGCCATACGTACCATCCCGTGACATGCCCACTGCCAGGCACTTCTGCAAGCGGCAGTGCTGGCATCGGTTGCGGCTGGTTCGGTCAATCAGACAGTTCTTCTGCCGGGGGCAGGAATATGCAGCATTACTCTGCTGACTTCTCCTGAAGAAGCCCTACAGGGGTGAGGAGAGCAGATAACACATGGAGTCATATGAGGAAACAGAGAGACCAACTGCCTCATACACCAAAAAGACTGGGAACCTCAACAACCACATTTATATGGAGAATGGGAAGCTCAAAACACTCATTCACATAGAGACCAGGAACCTCAAAAACCACAATTATATGGGGATTGGAAACCTCAAGAACCACATCCTCATACAGACCATGAAACTCAAAAACCACATTCATGTTGAGACCGAGAATTTCAAACAGCACATTTACAGAGAAACAAAAGACACATTCAAACAGACAGGGAACCTCAAAAACCTCATTCAAACAGACAGAGAACCTCAAAAATCACATTCAAACAGACAGGGAACCTCAAAAACCACATTTAAGCAGACAGGGAACCTCAAAATCCGCATTCAAACAGACATGGAACCTCAAAAACCACATTCAAACAGGCTGGATCCTTCAGACACCACATTCACAAAGGGACTGGGGGAACCTCAAACATCATGTTCACACATGATGTGACTGAAAACCTCAAAAACACATTCACATAGAGACTGGGAACCTCAAACATCACAAAGATGCAGAGAATGTAAGGCTGTAATGGTCCATGTATTCGGTGTATAAAGTTCAGCACATCATTTTCGGTTCAGTACACAGAATGAAACAAATGAACACATTCCGTGGCACGGGCAGAACCGAAATTCACAAGTGGCTGTTCCACACGGAAAATATTATGCTAATTGTGGCTATGAGTTGCTTACAGCTAATGCTGGTTACAGTCAGTCATAGTTGTGAAGCCAGAGACCGTCTCACCAGGGGTGCCAATGGGGGGGGGGGGGGGGGGTGATAGGATGATTCTAAGGGCCCCAGAATGACGGGCAATTAAAATTTTAATTACAATTTTGAGAATACTTTACTTACTATATACAAATAAAAATTAATATTTGAATTTGTTTCATTGTTTTTCGGGAAAAAGAAGCAAACTGGACATACAGTAGACTGTACTTCCCTCTGTTTTAGCATAAATTATTCGGCCCTGCCTTTGGCCTCATGATGCACTAATTAGCTAATATCGGTTAGTCAGCCTACATTGGAGGAAGTCGGTGTGAATTCCAGTGCATGCGAAAAATACTGAAAATTAAAATCTGGTTATCAGAAAAAAATAATCAACATAAAGTTGAAAGAGAAAAGAGAGGGCGACAATTGCTCACTCAGTTTTTCAGCGAAACGTCCATTTATTTATGTTAGTGTTTATCCACATTCTGTCTCCATTGATGCAAATGAATCAGTTACTTACAATTCTGTAGCTATTCTTATAATTCTTTAGCTAACATAGCTAAGCTATGCTTTGTTATGGTTAGCAAAATTAGCTTGCTAGTCCAACAAATAACTGTATATTAAAATCTGCTTACTAACTCATCATCTCCTCATAAAAAAGAGCTGAAAATCTGCTGGTTTATTACAAATTTAACTTGAACTTGAGGAAGCTAACGTAATCCCTGGTCGCTATCTAAATCAGTTCTGCTCTTGTGTCATGCACAGATGCAGATTCGGCAAGCCTGACATGGGCTGGCATATTCAGGGAGGGGGCTGAATACCAAAGATAATAATGTATATGCTCAGGAAACATTATGCATCGGCATTTCTACAGTAGGAATGCAGGTTCGGGGGACCCAAGGTGACATTTTGTCAGGGGGTCCAGAATTAGTAGCTGTGCCCCTGCCTTCCACATCACTTAAAACAGCAGTTTGGGAACATTTTGGTTTCCAAATAAATTACACCACTGCAGAGAGAGTAGCTGATAAGGCCAAGACTGTCTGTCGGCTCGGTTATGCTGAACTCGGATATGTAGCAGGAAGCACATCCAACATGCTAATTCTTTGGAGATGACATCTTGTGTACGACAGGAGCAAGGAGACCCAGTCTCTGTGGTGACATTCAAGGTGCATTTGCCAGGAAATTCAGACCAGGCTAAAAGAAAAACTAAGGCTCTAGGGTGCTTAAGGCTCTGGAAAACCTCAAACCTACCTAGAACAAATGGGAATGGGGGATGGCTAGATGGATGGATGGATGAGGAGTTTAGGGATGGTTGATACCGCTGATGTTTTTTTCAATCTGATACCGAGTGAAACAAAGTGAGGTGTGTAGCAAACCGTGAATTTTGAGTACTGTTACATCCCTAAGAGAATGGGCACTAAAATAACACATTTTTGAATAAATAAATTTTAAACGGATAATAACTAATAAAATCTAATAAAATAACATAATGACTGCACACCTCCAAGATCCAGTATCTCAAGGGACACAGTTGGGTAAGCTTCCTACTTCTGGGGAGGGGGCAGAACGCAGGCCTCGTGTCAGCTGATCAGGTCACAACAGCACTGATCATCTACAAAGTGACGCAACGGCTCATCTTGACTTAGCAAATTAACTGCGGCACATCATTAGGAGACCCCATATCCAGCCCTCAATGTGCATGTGCCTTAATTAGCTGCCCATTGGCTGTTTAATTACACGAAAACAGTTGACAGCTGCCAAGTTTTCCTGATGAAAACCATTAGAAATCTGGGCTGCAGCAGCCAGTGACAAACACGATTCTCTCGTAGAGCCATGATTTATGGTTTTGTGTATTTGTGCATATCATTACATACTCCTATGCCTGAAGTAATTAGGAGCTATTCAGCATAGATTTTGCTGGTTTACTGAAAAGCTTCAGGTTGGTCCAATCCCAGGCCTGTAAGCCTGATGCCAGAAATGCCAGTTTCCTCACTGCCTCCACCCATCTCCTTCATGGGTTCCCTGTCCGACAATTTTCCTGACGTCAGGAGAAAGTACAGGCGAAAGAAAGATTCGAGATAGACCTCCATGAACGACTACACGCTCGCTCAGTCTGCCATCGCTTGATGTAGGAGAAGCGCTTGTTAAGGTGAGTCACTCTCTGCTCACGTGTCCCATGACATACACATTGAGCTCACATAAACGCACATGAATGCCATGTATACTGTGGAAGAAAGATTCCAGTAGGTCTGGGGAGAGGTGCATAGTGTGATTATTGTTAATGTCTTAGGCCTTAGGCAAGAAGAATGTGTATCTTGTGCATTGCGTGCTTACAGGAAACAGCCAATCCATTTTTTCACATTAATTTTTTTTGATACATTCTTCTGCACTTGATACTTTTTACGTTTCATTTGCACATCCTCTTAAAAAACCTTCAACGTGGGGGAAATTCATTAAAGCTAAAAAATATATCTTTATCTGATATATGCTTCACTATGACAACCTCCTGGGCAACCAACCGCCCCATGAAGTTACACACACTGGTTTAAATACACCAGCCAGCGTTGGGACTCATGGGTGGGCGGAGTGTTCAAAGTGAGCTCTGAAGGGTGGGGGTAACTTTTAAGAAAATATAGGCAGCAGAAAGCCGATCAAGTGGTGGTGAAAAATATGCATAATCATTTTGTAGCCCAAAACGAGCAGCGGAATAAAGAGAGAATTAGTGAGAGAAGCTCTAGATCAGCAGTAGGTCAACCAGTCTACAAATCTGGGCAAAAGGCGATAGGGAAAACATCCATCTTCCAAGCGCTTATCCTCGTAAGGGTCACGGGGGAACTAGAATCGATCCAAGGGAGCAGAAGGTGTAAGGCTGGGGTATTATGCCAGTGCATCGCAGGGCACATGCGAGCACACACAGGTGACGGCGCTTAGCCTAACTGCATGTCTTTGGACTGCAAGCAGAAACCAGGTTGCTGGGAGGGAGCTGGTGCAATGCACACACACAGAGCAAATGCAGGGTTCAAACCCCGAAACTGTGTTACCCACTGAGCCACTGTGGCACCCAGAGGAGAAGCCACTTCAAAATAGATAATAATTAGGAGATTCCAGAAAGACTAAGCAAAATATTCTGCAGCGAAAAGAGGTGAAACACACAGACAAAGAGACACTCAAGTGGCTCCAGTAAATATTCTGAAATGACTCTTCAAAGGGGAATGCATCACGGCTGGAGTGTTACAGTACTAATCCAACTGGTCTGCCAAGAATAGTGGCTGGATACTGTACACTGCAGATGTGTGAAGCTGAGGCTGTGAAAAGCCTCACAGCTGTCCAAGTGCCTTTGGCACGCTAAGCGTCATTGTAGGGCAGGGAGAGTTATCTAATTAGTCTGAAAACATTCCAGTATCTCTAAATTTTTATTTATCGGTGCTTTTTAACAAGACCTCTTCAAAACGTTGAGTTGATGATATGGATAAAGCAATAAAATGAGTACAATTAAGTATTATGTTTAACAAACGGTAAACGCTTTGTATAAGTACTGCGGAGGGACAGAAGGAGATGAAGTGAGTCGCGAGAGAAAACATCAGCGACACTGGCATGAAGAGGAAAGAGTCGGGACTTACCTTGCAACCTTCGCATGTTATCACACCATAATGGATTCCCGATGATTTATCGCCACAGATCTTGCAAGGAATTATTTCGATTTGAGCTGTGGAAAGAGAAGGGAAATCACTCATCACACCTAACACATGAAAGACCTCTAGCACAAAAAAAGTCAACGCATGAAGAAGGGATGATTTCCATCCTAACAGGGATACCTTGGATGATGTTGTCTTATCTACTATTTAAACATCCCAAACTTGGCTTCCAGTGATAGAGGATATCTCAAAAATATCATAATGAAACACCCATCATACCGACTAACAGTATTTGTCTATACGAAAAGATTTTGTACTGTATATCATTAAAGCCTGTGACATTCTGTGTGGAAGTTTCATCGGGAAATAATCTGTAATACAAATTTGAATTACAAGAGAACCACGTGACCCAGGTGTAAGACATGGAATGAGAGGTTTATTAAGGACGGGGTTCCCGTTTCAGGCACCACAGCAACTGAGCTGGGCCGGGATCCGGGAAAAATAAAAGGGCTGTTTCAAAGAGAAGTGAGTACAGCATGGACTCAGCATCTGCCCAAGTTTGCTGGGGGTGAGGAACAAACAGAGCATGATGAATTTGTACCCGGACAGGGGACGGATGAGGGGAATTAAGAGAAATGACCCCAGTCACCTGACTTTCCCTTTTGAGATGGTGCCCCCCCCAATGACACTCAACATCAGATCGCCTGCTAATAAGGGCGAAGAGGCTAATCTGCCACTGTGTGGGGGGGGGGGGCACAAAATGGTGTAGCAAGGCAATAACATCCTGGGGGGGGGAGCTTAAATCCAGTAGTGAGAGAGGGAGCCAGCGGCCAGGGCCCTGGGACGCACACAGCACCCCGCATTAGGCTCAGGGAGATAATCTTCTATCTAGAACCACAGCACTACTCAGACCGAGGCTCACCCAGACATGACAATACCACCGACACCCAATCAAATGAGGGCTTAATGGAAATTTAATCCTGCCCTATTGGCCAAGTAAGCTGCTCTTGATAAGAACAGTGAACAGTAAGTAATAAAGCAGGTAATAAAGTATCACTATGCCTATCAGTAAGACGGGGCATGGACATCCCAGGGTGGGGCAAATTCAGATGACAGGTCCACTCCTTCACCAGCGGCACATTATATCCCCATAACAGGAAATGGACACACAAGCCGGAGTTTGTTTTGTTTTTCTGTACGTCTGCCTTGTCCTGACACTGAAATGGTCGTCTGTTTCCTTAAGGCTGCCTCCGCTGCCCTCCCCAAATAAAGTGCCCATTCTGTCCCCCCACCCCTGTGTGGCGTAGGCCTGTCCCAGCTGGAGCAACTCTCACAATATCACTTCCAAAAGTCAGACGAAAAAGACAAGGAAGTCTGTGTCTTTTTTTTTGTTGTTTGTTTTCATATTTCAATCTCTAATAACTGCAGTATTATGTTTGTAGGGCTTAATCAGATACTCTCTTCTATAGAAACTCTATTAATGAAACACAGAAACTTGGAGACAGCATCAAAAGGACCTCCTAGATTGTTCTGCTCATGGTCAGGGAATCGCAGCTGAGAGCAGCGTGGAGTCACAGGGAACTGAGGCCGTCACACATGCGCAGACAGGGAGCGTCTGCATCACTTAAATTTCTTCCGGAGGGACTTTTAGTGAATTAAAAAGCTAACGCCACAGGGAAGGATGTAAGGGTCAGCTGCACATGAGAACAATTGGCTGGACCCTAACTGTGAGCCTTATGTAAGTAGTGATTGGTATGACTTTGAAAGCCAGGGTGGGCGGGAATATAAAGTGCTGTCAATCACCTGGCGTAAGCTAATGGAAACCATCACAGATTTTAAAGCTTCATTTCTTCAGAGAAGTAGCGGCCATTTTTTATTGCCGCTTATACATATCAGTTCGTATCCACGGTAATAAAGGCTCCTCCCATATTTCACAGCTAGTCAGTTCATGTTGGAAAAACTACTAAAGGGTGGGGAAAAAAGCCAGACACCATGATTTCCTGGGCTCACTTAAATCATCCTTCTGGTCTTGACTGAGGGGCTGCAGCACCATGTTTCCTATGCCAATAGTCAAATATGAACATAAAATTATGCTTCATAAATTATTTTCCAGCCCAATTAGCTGGCAGCTTGGTACAGTGATGTCAGTGTCGTCACACCAGAAGCGCTTTTGAGGAATGGCTTTTTCCTCAGTACCTTAACAAGTGCTTTTATATTCCTATGGATCCTCTGCCTATCCAACGAGGATTGAAGGTCTAAATGCAATATAAAGCAAATTCCAGCCACAGAGGGCTTGCTGAAGTAATATTAGCTGGTATCTCATCAAGAACAACGAGGGCATCACAGAATGGTCAGTAAGCAAAGTGTGAGAGATGGTGCCAAGAAAGTTACCAGCTGTCTGCCAAATGTCAGAAAGAAGCAGAACTTATGCTTGTTCTGGAGTGTTTTATTTTTGCAAACATGAATATTACCTGGTACACTGCATTTCTACTCCTTCAGCATTTGCAGCTTCATCACTCACATAATTTCTTATGACATGGACTAATTAAGGGTGGCACAGTGCAAGGCGAGTGCACACGCAGAGCCTGGCCAGTAGGTGGCAATGTGAAGTCATGGACAGCTCCTACCTACGCCATGCAAGGATGGAGCTCTTGGCTCCAAAACATTTATGAAAAGTAGTGCACAAATAAAATAAAATGCAACAGAAATGAATAATAAATTCTTTTTTATTTATCCCTTTCTGGTGGCACAGCTCTGAGATGCCTTAATTTCCCCCTACAAAGCAAGCCTGGCTGAACGTGTGCAGAAGCCCGACAATGACTGTGTCACATCAGGTGAAGGGTAGAGGAGTGGATGTGACGTGGGGGGGGCTGGGTGCTTCTCATGCAGGCCTGAGCAGTTTGCCAGGAGCGGGGGGAGTTAAACCCGCAAGCTAACGACAGTCGCACACATTAACTACGCGTTTATGTTAACAGCCTTTATTTTTGGCTCCACTGCTAACACTGACTTTGTTCTGCCACTTTGAATCAGCAGAAATGGCCAAGCTGAGCCGTGGTCTTCATAAACTAAATTCATAAGGAGCCAAGCTCGACAAGATGAAACAAAAGCGCTTGTGTGACAGAAGAAAAATGCTCAACCTTAAATCATTTCCTGTCAGTGAACTAGGATCTCGAGCTGAGCTCCCTGTAGGACCTTCTAGGAATTCTTGGGGCTCAAAAGCCAAATGCACTTTTGAAATGCTCTCTGGACTCAATGCAGCAATTAAAAAATATGAAAACCCAGTGTTGATAAGTACTCCAGGTCTGTAGTCACCCTGGCCCCATCTGAACCTGACCAGTGACACCTCCTCAATGGCTTCTCATTAAACATCAAAGGCACACAAAAACTTGTTGGAGCAGAAATGTTTCTTTGCAGCTCCTCCCTTCCTTCTGAAACCCCAGCATGACCCATAGGGAAGTTTTCCTATGTCTTACATGGACATCAAGAGGCCGTCGTCTCTTCAGCAGATTGCGGTTGTAGGGCGAGCTTTCACACCGTCAAAGGCTGCAGTGATGCGGCTTTTCACCCAGATATGAATGTAATATAATATAATATAAACACAGACCCGATCACGTTTCAGCACGGAGTTGTACATTGCGGAATTGCCCATTTCTGTATTTCAGCGAAGGCATATCAGATGTTGGGTCTCAGCTCAGCTTCATCACGCACAAGATCAGGTTGTCTTCTCACTGGTCTAACCTTGGATGGGAATGCCCGGTCTCCACCCATTACTGCCCAAGGCCTGGGTGCTTCCCTTAATGACAGAGAAAACAACCAAGGGTGGGAACCTGCCGATACTCCAGCCCGCATGGGGCCCGGGCTCCTGGGGCCCGTCTGCTGGCCACAGATGGCCACAGCTCCCCCAGGAAAGCACATCATCACTGAGCCTCTACATCTAAGAAATCCCTAATGAATAACTAATAGTAATAAAAACAAATATCAACTGTCTCAGGTACAGTGTAGACATCCTTATACGGATCTTATCTGTTATTATCTCAATAAAAAAATTAAAATAATGTCATGCCAAGCAGTGGAGGGCTTCTTCAGATGCCCATAAACCCCCATCATGTCACATTTAATCCAAAGCCTGCTTCCTTCAAACTTCACCCCTCCCAGGATGTGAGGAGAAACTGCTACTCTTCAGATATCAACAGACCTAGCAAGACTGTTCAATGACTTCCTTATACTTACCAGCTTCTTCTGTCATTTAAATCATAAGAACATATTTAAATTGAATCTTTACAAGGAAATATCAATAGTGCTAATGTGACTATAGTGATGCACGTTTGGATCCCTGCAAACCTGTGAGATACAAAACACCATTGCCTGAAAAAGGTCTACACCTATAACAGCCCATTTCTGATGTTACTCAAGATGTGGATAAAATGAAACTAGAAAAACCAGGACATTAGGGGTTTGAAACCTACCCGATTCTGTGTGTGTGGGGTCTGCATCTATTCCTTATGTTGTGCGTGTGTAAGTCTCTTCTGGGTACTCCGGTTTCCTCCCACAGTCCAAAGGCATTAAGTCAAGCGAACTGGCATTTCTGAATTGCCCAAAGTGTGCGATTGTATGTCTGCCATGTGCCCCATGCTGTCTGGGATAGGCTCCAGGCACCTCCACAACCCTTTATTGGATAAGCGGTTTGAAGATGAATAGACTCTTAGGCCATTCTTTCTGTAAATAAAGCAAACCAATCACACTGCAATCACCCATAGTCCTGCTGTGTCTGTACTGAAATAATCATACTGTGCTCTGTTACCGTAGTTACTAGACCATCAGACACTCCTTGTTTCTTTGTTATGTTCTCTACCATTTTGCAACACAGTATTGAATGGTTTATGTTACAGTGTTGCTGTAGCAGTTGAGTTTTTTGTAGGTGATTTTCAAGATGAAACAATATACTGGAAAAAAACAAGTTCATAAATGCAAGGAAACCTGATAATAGTTTCCTTACTGCTTGCAAGGTAGATGAGTGATTATGGTTGCTGTTTACACATCAACAAATGACAGATGATGCAGACTTTGACAT